CAATCATTAGCCAAGAAACTAGGGGTTCGTGTCAGGGTTCATGGACATACATCTCCAACCCCCCTCCATTTTTTAAAGTTGGCACCGGCCAACACTCCTCCCCTTTGCAACCCGCTCACCCTTCCGGAACCCAAACGACACCCTTCCGGCCGCCCCAAGCCCAGGCGAGGGAGTCCGAAGCAGGGAAATCACAGCGGCGGTTGAAACTTTGGTTTTTTCAGGGACTTGTTCAACCCGCCCAATCCAATTCTCCAACCCCCAAATGCACCCGGGTGAAATTCGACTGGGCTCAAGTCGATTTGGAACCAAGATGAATTGACTTGGAACAACCCACATAAAGTGATCATGCCAAACCCACCGAGTTTTTGTTGAACCCGTTGAAACAGGTCCCCCAGAACCGGGAGGGGGAGGGGGGGAGGTGGGGATGGATCTGTGCCACTTTCGGGACCCCGAAGCATAGGTAGCCTTTTGGAAAAATCGATGGGTTTCCATCTATAAAAGGAATATAAACCCCACCTAAACCAGGGCCCTCTATCTTTTGAGCAAATAGATGGGTTTCCCTGGTAAATGACAAATACACCCCGCCTAAACCAGGAATCGCCCTCGTTTTTTTGTCTTCTTAAGCAAGCCAACCAAAAAGGACACCTCTGCGCGGGTTTTCTCCGAGCAGCTCGTGGACTTCCAAAGTACCCGCCGAGCCCTTCTTGGCAGGACTGGCGGCTGGCGGCTGGCGGGCGACCGAGAGGAAACAAAAAAAATGGGCAGGACCGCGAGGTCCTCCAGATTTGAGAGCTTAGAATAAGTTGGTACCCACCTTTTTCCCGGTTTTGTGTATTACCCTCCCAACCAAAAAGGGTAAAAGCCAACTTTCTTCTGTAGTCGATTTTCGTAGGGGAACCTTCCCAACCAATAAAGGGGTGAGAAAGGGCACTGGAAAACCTAGCTACCCGATGCTCCTTTCAAGGGCCGGGAGGTAAAGCCCCAGGCCCCGAAGCCTTGCGATCGAGATGCAGGGGTGAGAAATGAGCCATTTTTCACCATCCGACCGGTTTCCTTTGAGAAAGCCTGGGGAATGAACCCCATTCCCTGAGCACCAGCAAAACAAACACAATCCTCTTGGAAAAGGCGTCCGTGTCGGGGGGTTAATCCCATCGAGCCTGAAAAAAAATCCAAGTGCAGAAAAGCAGGATGCCACACACTTCTGGGGAAAACGTCCCCACGTCTCCCAGAAGGACTCTGAACGTCCAACGGAAGAGAGCCATCCAGCCAGCGCACAATGCATATTTATTCCATCCAACCTGATAATCAAAGGACTGGACCTTTTGGAACCAACCGCCCCCCCCCCCCCCAAAAAAAAAAACAAAAAAACAAAAAACAGAACCTCGCCGAAATTAACTCTCCCCCCCTTCCCGATTTTTAGTACAACGAACCTGGCTGTCCTCAGATCCCCTGCCAAAAGTTCAACTTGTGGGTCAAATGGAAACCCAACCGCCAAACCCTACACAAAGACGCCTTACGGAGGAAAAAGCGAGTAGCGCTTTCAACATCTTGCTGCTTTTGGGGCCTCACCCCCCCCTGACAAGAAAACGCCGCGCACGTAGTTGCACTGAGCGAGTCGCAATGAAAAGAAATCTTGGAGTACTCGCATAGGTGGCCTGTTGAAAAAATAGATGGGTTTCCCTGGCAAATGGAAGAATAAAAAAAACAATCTAAACCAGGAATCGCCCTCGATTTGTTTAAGAAAACCAACCAAAAAGGACACCTATGCTCGTAGCCATCTAGCCAATTAGCTGTCTCTCAGCAAGGCTTTGGGAATGAACTGCTTGGAATGCGTCCCTAGGAAACGCGAGTTGTTCTCGCTCACCTGTGACTCAACGCGAGCTTTTCCCGCTCTCGCGCGCCTGGCCTGTCCTTCCAGCCGGTGTAGCAATCGCAGGCGGGGCCCACGGCCTTCAGGTGGATCTGCGCCGAGTGATCGCCTCGGTCTCGTTTCAGCCAGAAACGAGACCGTTGGATCGCATGCAAACCTCCCCTGTGGATGGACAAAAATCCATTTTACAGGGGAATCATCCTTCCAGGGTCTCTGAGGTGGTGCGAACAGCATTCGACAAGCTGTTCTTTTTTTGGAAATCAAAGCTCGTGAGGGCCAGGCGGATGAGACAGATCCGACACCGCAGAACTCCAGAAGTGAAGTCTTCTGTTGGGCTTATGTTGGCTAGGTCCTCCAGATTTGAGAGGATAGAATAAGTTGGTACCCGCTGGTACCCATTTTTCCTGTTTTGTCTATTTTGGCAGGGGAACCTCCCAAACACAGATGGTAAAAGGGCACTACTGGGGGACCTAGCCCTGAAGCCAAGGGAATCTTAAACAGGGCTGGAAATACCGCATCAGCCATCTGCAAGTAATAACAAGGGTTGGCACTCACATGAAATGACCTGCAAAGGGTGTAAAGGGTATAACAGTGGGCACAGCTTAGGAACCACCCAACGCCAGCCCAACCAAGCTTGCCCGCATGGAAACGCCAGATCCAAAAGTTCGTGCCAATGTCGTCTCTTCAGGGCGTCCCGCCAGGAAATTGCAAGATCATAAACCCGACAAAAGTGCCTTTTCACAGCTCTTGGCTGCAGCTTTTGGTGTGAAACAAATTGGACTCTCAGGCGAGCTACAAAGTCGTGATTTCCGAGCTGGAGCTGCGGAAGTGTACTTTGCGTACTACACTTGTAGTACAATGTTGTTTTTTGAGCCTGGAGCTGAAAAAGCCAACCTTTTCTGTACTACAAAGTTGGAGCTTTTGGGGACAATTTAACTAACACGGGAAAAGCTTCGGCGAGATTCTCAAAAACGCTGCGGCTCAAACTGAAATAAAAGAGTGAATGAGTAGGCAACACATCTAAAAACGGCAGACTGAAATGACGAATAAAACACTTACCCAAATCTTCTTATGATTGCGGAAAAAGAGACGACTTCACAAATCAGCTCTCTGCACCGGTATGGTACGTTCGAAGGCAACGGAGTGGTTGCCTGTGTTCTCCCGACGCCCATAAGGATGATAACACCTGCATGGTGTGGTCGGCTGTGCATCTTTCAGGGATATACCTGCCTCCCAGCGCGCAGGAACCCGTGGGGCCGCGCGTTTCGATGGGGACCGAGGCCTAACAAGCTCTAACTTTTGAAATGTGTTCCTTGAACGATGACTCATTTGCCTAGTTTGGATTTGGAATAACAGATACTCATTGTTTGGGATCTTGACTAAAAATAAACAGAAATTGGACAACTCAGAGACAAGAAAGGAAGCTAAAGTTTCTTTTTACTTCCTTGACTGAACAGCTTTCAGAACTTTTCTGCAGGGGTAGGGCCTGAAAACTGACCTTGTGATGTGTTTACAGTCACTTGGTGGTGCATGGGAAACGCCCATGAAAGTCAAAATTGTTAAAAGCTACATTACTGTTGGGGGGGAGGTCTACGTTACTTGTGTGGTGTTGTTTTTTTCCAGCTGCATGTGGACAAACTAACTTATGTTCGAGGTGTTGCCACGGCCTCTTTGCGCTTTTGGAAACTCATTCACGTGTCTCAGAATCGCGAGGCCTAGCCGTCAAGCGACCCTCCGCGACGTCATCGCAAAAGCCCGCGAAACTCCGGGGGCGGTGAGGGTTCACGTCCTCGTAGGTGGGGTGGCGCGAGCGCTGCACATACACCTGCCGAATCGGATGTGGAAAAAGCCTATGATACCAACTTTGCAAAGTGGTTGATTCTCAGGACTAATTTGCCACTTTCAACGGGGTTCCCTTGATATCACATAAGTTTGAAGTTGGCCCTCTCCAGCATGCTCTCGAAGCCATTCGAGGTCGACTAACTCTTTGTGGGTCAAGTCCAACGTGGAAAGTGATGAACAACATGACTTTTCGAGTGGTTACAGAAGAAAACAACAACAAGCAGCTCTCCGGTCGTATCAGGTATGTCTGTTTGGAGCAAATAGAGAGTTTCAGTTCCGCACAAATTCTCTGCTGGGACCGGACGTCGATCTCTCAAGGCTTCTCCGCAAAAGTCGCACAAACCGGACGTGGGCAACATGAACGGGATGGAACTTAATCTTTCTAAAGGGGGATCCCATGAGATTCACGTAAAATAATATGGCAGAGGTTCCAAGTGAAAATCTGCAGAAGAAAACAAACGGTGTCCCATATTGAAGAGGGACCATCCACCTCTTTGGCGGAAGCCGCTACTCATCCACATCGTTTGATGTTCGGCATAAGGCCGGGCTACTTCTCTTGTACTAAGGACATTTCAAGAAACGCACTTTGGCAAGGCACGCCCCTTCCACCACCCCGACTTCCACAGCCTAAGCAACCCTTTGCCTTAAACAAACTGCAACGCAGCAAGTTACAACTTGCCATGGCCATTTTACGAGCAGCCATTGGCGCTCTAATGGAGCGCGCCTAGCGCATGACTATGTCAGAACCGAACAATGTGTATTGCAGTGTGTGCTCCATCTTCTGTTGGGTGTGAGTAAGGGGGGGGAAGGGTAGGTGAAGCCCAACTAAGAAGAAACCTCTTCGAGTGTGCGCCTACATGTGTGTGTGCGGTGTGCGTGTAGGGGGTGTATGTATGTGTTTATGCATACATGCATGCACGTATGAATGTATATGCATGTATGAATGTATGCATGTATGCATGTATACATGTATGCATGTATGCATGTATGTATGCATGACATACATGCATGTATGCATGTATGCATGTATGCATGTATGCATGTATGGTATGCATGCATGCATGCATGCATGCATGTATGCATGTATGCATGTATGCATGTATACATGTATGCATGTATGCATGTATACATGTATGCATGTATGCATGTATTGTATGCATGACATACATGCATGTATGCATGTATGCATGTATGCATGTATGCATGTATGGTATGCATGCATGCATGCATGTATGCATGTATGCATGTATACATGTATGCATGTATGCATGTATTGTATGCATGACATACATGCATGTATGCATGTATGCATGTATGCATGTATGCATGTATGGTATGCATGCATGCATGCATGTATGCATGTATGCATGTATACATGTATGCATGTATGCATGTATTGCATGTATGCATGTACATGCTGTATGCATGTATGCATGCATGTATGCATGCATGTATGCATGCATGCATGCATGCATGCATGCATATGTATGCATGCATGTATGCATGTATATGTATGCATGTATGCATGTATGCATGTAGTGTATGCATGACATGCATGCATGTATGTATGCATGTATGCATGCATGCATGCATGTATGCATGTATGCATGTATGCATGACATACATGCATGTATGCATGTATGCATGTATACATGTATGCATGTATGCATGTATTGTATGCATGACATACATGCATGTATGCATGTATGCATGTATGCATGTATGCATGTATGCATGTATTGTATGCATGACATACCTGCATGTATGCATGTATGCGTGTATGCATGTATGCATGTATGCATGTATGGTATGCATGCATGCATGCATGCATGTATGTATGCATGTATGCATGTATACATGTATGCATGTATGCATGTATTGTATGCATGACATACATGCATGTATGCATGTATGCATGTATACATGTATGCATGTATGCATGTATTGTATGCATGACATACATGCATGTATGCATGTATGCATGTATGCATGTATGCATGTATGCATGTATGCATGTATGCATGTATGCATGTATGGCATGCATGCATGCATGCATGCATGCATGCATGCATGCATGCATGCATGCATGCATGTATGTATGTAGGTATTGTGGGGTCTTTGGACGCGCACGTGAGCGGGGTGCGGTGAGGTCGCGTAACCCATCTGTACTGTGGCATCCTCAAAATCCATTTGGTTGGCGGGTTCCTCTACTGAACATTCGACCTAGACTGACTTCAGTTCCCCAGTACCCAAGATGGTGCTTACTTCCCCCAAGCTTGCTTAAGCCTTTTGGACGAAACACCTTTCTTAGTAGTAGTAGTAGTAGTAGTAGTAGTAGTAGTAGTAGTAGTAGTAGTAGTAGTAGTAGTAGAAAACTATTTCGAGGTAACAAGGAGCAAACACAAGGGTAAACACTATATTCTGAAGCAAACGGATGGTAAGCTTGACTTCCGTTGGACCTCGCCTGGCCGAAGATTTCCACGGAAGGGCATTTCTTCCCGTCGACGTGGATCTCCCAATGGCAGACGCAGTTATGGTGGGCGCTGTAGGTCCGGAGGTTGTCGCTGTAGAAGAGCCGAAGCCTTGTGTCCTCGTCCCAGGTTTCGGTTTCACGTCGGGCCGCACGGATACGAAGAAGGCCACACCCCCAAAAGTCATGAAGCCACGAAAACGCTTCACTGAACCGGCTTACCTCACTTGAGTCACAAGAATCAGGTGAAGGAAGCTATCACCGCACCTTGGCCGTCCCTACCTTCATCTACCCGGTGCTTGGCATTCTTTGTTCGCACTGCGAAAAAGAAACATGGAACCTGCCTGAAATATCTTAGTCTCCTTTTGGGGGACCTTCCTTTCGGGCTCCAGATTGACAGAGGGAAGTCCTGAGTGGACTGGTCCAAGAACAGACAAGTGTCAAGTCAAACCGAGTGAGTTGCGGCAGGTGCTGCTGCGAACTCACACAAGTTGATTGCAGGGGCTGAAGCAATTGGAATGGCCGTGTGGGGGTGACTTAAAACAAACATTAGTCATGACTTTGCATCAGCCACCCCTTTGAACAAATCAGCAGGTGACCTGCATCGTAAGAACTGAGCTAGCCCAAACCGTAACCGTTCAACCGGTTCGAGCAAAACTGCAATGCCAAACATCCACCCAGAAACTCCTTCCAACTTCCAAAGAAGAATCGCTCACTTTCGAGAAATCGGGAACCATAGTCAGAAGGCCTCGCCAAGAAAGGTTCGAAAAGGAAACCTTCAGGAGGCTCCGAGGCGCTGAGTGCTGCTTTGTGAAGCTCAGCTTGTGGTTGGGCAGGTAGCCCTTGTCTTCCCCGTTCTGGTTGGTGCTTCGTACGTAATGCACCTGAAGTGTTTAAATGGACCTGAGTTTCTCAAAACTCAAAACTCAAGGAGCCTTTTCTGGCATTGATGTTCAAGCGACATTCCCTCACCAGAACAGTTCTAAGCGCAGCCGTAGAAATATGTCCAGGATCCCCAGATGCAATGGACCATTGGATTTGCCGATCGCCGAATACATCAGGGTCTTCACAAAAAAAACATTTTTGATTGGCCTCAGGGGGTGGTGCGGCCAAAAAATCCCAAGCAAAAGGTTTTGACATGTTTTGACTCAATCCAGGAGCCTTGGGAAGGGTTCGCCCGCACCTCGACGCCTCCGACCAATCAATCTGATTCAATGGAATCCAAGAGTGGTCACAAGCTGAAGGCTTGTTAACAGACGGCTGCCGTCAGATCCTGCAAGAAGCTTCCCTTGCTCCCTGCACGACCTAACTAAAAGGTACAGAGCCTTTAAAAATTTACCCACCCGCTTCCACCCCTGCACGCCCGCTCACGCTCACAAGCATCACGTCAGAGCTGCACGCACGCTGGCGCATGATAAGCGCACCCGTTCGCTCGCATCACGTCAGACCTGCACGCACGTTGGCGCATCACAAGCACACCCGCTCACGCGCATGACATCAGAGCTGCACGCACCTTGGCACATGACAAGCACACACGCTCACGCGTGCTGGCACATGATAAACACACCGCTGACGTTCATCATGTCAGAGCTGCACGCAAACTGGCACATGATAAGCACACCCGCTAGCTGCCATGTGTGCTGACTTGGTCCAAAACTTGAGATTCAGCTGGCCTGAGTTGGTCACCGGGATGTCCACCAGCCCCAGAAACATGCATACTTGTCAATCAGCGTGAGAATAGGCGCACGAGCTCCGAGGACATGCGAAACAAAAGGGCGGGTGACTATGCACCCGGCACGAACTAAAAACAAATAGCCAAGAAACCGGAGGGCCTGGCTTGCCACCCGTGAAATCCTTGTGACAGCCTCATGGCTCAGGGGATGCCTGCAGAAAAGACCCGACCATCTGGTCGGGCAGGGCCATACTTCCAACCATCCAAGCGTGGCATGGAACCCAAAAGCAATCGATCATGTTTAGAGGAAACACAATTGGGGCACCCCTGTTACCTGTTTTGGTTCGTTGCCAATTTTCAAGGGAGTGAAGGACCAACTGAAACTGCAGGCTGGGGTTCCACTCAGTTCCCAGGAAGAAACCCTTCGGCACCTCAACCAAACTGTTTGGCAAAAAGGTGATACTTAAACCAACCAACAAACAACCTGCTCATGACATACCAAATCCCCGAAAAAACTAAAAGCTGTCTTACACCAGTAGCTAACTTCCATTCCCCCCAAAAAGAAAAGGGATGTATAGAACAAGTTCATTGTCAGATTGCCTCAAACAGGACACAGTCCAAGCCATGAACACTTTGGACGCGACGATGCGGAAATATCTCGCCCACCAACCGAATGCGGGCGGAAAAAACCGGGCGCCATCTTGTAGTGCTTCGGGATCTCCTCGCTTGAGCGGCACCCATTGAAAGACAATAACCACCGTTTGCTTTTCCGTCCCAGGAACACTGGGCTGCCCTCCCCACTAAACGTTTAACCTTTAGTGACCTCCATGCTGCCCGGTTAGCTTGCCAGCCTGTCCATTGACAGGCGAACAAGAAGCCGGTTTGGCCTCTGAATTGAGCGCAGCTCTGCCCAAGTGCTATTCACATTGCAGGCCGAGAGTTCGGAACATTAGGACCCACCCGAAACAGGGATACGAGACTTGCGGCACATTCCCACACGTGCAAAGCAATCCCCTAGATGTGTATATGCCATCTTCTAAGCGTATGTCCGTTTTCCGGCGCGGTAATTTCAAAGGCTTGGGCAGGCAGCATTTCCGAATGTGTTGAGGCATTCGGAGAATGCCCATTGCCTGAAGATTAACCCCAGATTTTTTGCAAGCTCCTTGAGACCATGGGAAAATTTCTGCTCCAGTGATGCTACTTAGAGTCCGCATGGCATGCTGGAAAGCTTTGATTTCATTTGTTAAGGAACGTTGGTGTAATTCGTGGGTGTACCCAGAGCGGCCGAAGGTGTGTATACGGCGACTTCAACCGAAGAGAGGTGCTTCTCTTCACTTGTAGGTGAAAACGAACACCTTTCTTGGAGAAAGGCTTTAAACTGCAGGGGTGTAGGTGTATATATATATATAGTAAAACATAATGTTAGATAGCGATTAATAAAACGGGAGTGAATACAGAAAAACATCTCAAAATTATTCACTCTCCTGAAAAGCAAAAAGGGTAGGTACTACCCGAAATCCCGAAAATATGTTCCCTTCCAAGAATGGACTATTTTTGAGGGTTGAAACATCTGAGTCCAGCCAGAAATGTCCAGAATTTCTGGATTGCTTCCTGTCCCAAACCACCAAATTCCTTATCAATCCCTTTACTAGAAGATGCACCCTGACAAATTTTCAAGGGGGTGGCACACGGAACCCCCAGGAAGGCAATAATGCAGTTTGTTTAAGGGTAGGGAATTGTGAAGGAAAAAATGGCCAGAGCAGCCTGCCAAGAAGAAAGCCCTGCTGTTCTCACATAAAGCCAGAAATGTCCAGAATCTCTGGATTGCTTCCTGTCCCAAACCACCAAATTCCTTATCAATCCCTTTACTAGAAGATGCACCCTGACAAATTTTCAAGGGGTGGCACACGGAACCCCCAGGAAGGCAATAATGCAGTTTGCTTAAGGGTAGGGAATTGTGAACAAAAAGTGGCCAGGGCAGCCTGCCAAGAAGAAGAACCAATACTAAACCAATTCTAAACTGTAGTGAGTCAACTGAAAAGAATACTGAACTAATACTAAACCAATTCTAAATCGTAGTGAGCCAGCTCAAAGGAATACTAAACCAATACTAAAGCAATTCTAAACAATACTTACTGGAAAACTACTCAGGCAGGTCCCAGTCAGACCCCCATTTTGCTTTTGGTGGTTCTCGCTATTGACCCCCCCCAATTCGTTTGAGGGGGGGGGCCCTTTATTAATCACTGTCCAACATTACTATATTGATGTTTTGTGGACTTAAAGGCAATTTTTCTGCTTGGGCCAAACAAAACAATTGTACCAGTCAACGCAGGTTTCCATCACCGTCACGCGCTGTGATGCCAAACATGCGCGGCCAACGCTTCATTTGACCGGCTCAAGGATGCACTATTAACCCTTGGGCGCCGCAGCCACGTCCCCCACGTCCCGCACGTCCCGCACGTCCCGCGCGTCCCGTCCCCCACGTCCCCACGTCCCGCACGTCCCGCGCGTCCCGCGCGTCCCGTCCCCACGTCCCCCACGTCCCTCACGTCCCGCGCGTCCCGCACGTCCCGTCCTCCACGTCCCGCAGGTCCTGCGCGTCCCGCTCGTCCCGTCCCCCACGTCCCGCACGTCCCTGACGTCCCGCACGTCTCTCACGCCCCGCGCGTTCCGCGGATCATGTCCTCCACGTCCCCTACGTCCTGCACGTCCCGCACGTCCTGCACGTTCAGCACCCACCTCGCACACATCCAACACTGACGCGCTTGCTTCTCTTTCTCATATATCCCTTCTTTTGCACGCGTCCTGGGATACGCACTTGAATGCGCTGCATGTTTCACCACGCAGTCTTTGTGTCATGTTCTGTTTGCGTGTCCGTATGCTTACAGTGATTGCGCATCTTGCAGACTGCGCCGTGATGCTTCTCATGGCATTGGACTGGCATGTGAACTTAAACAAAGATGTTATATATGAAACAGTACACATATCAATATGCACTGCTGATGGAATGAAATTCCGTCCGGTTCACATGTAGACTTTTGACTCTATATAGAGTTGTTTTTTACGTATGAATCTTTATTAACAATAGCAGTTTTTGTGTATGAGTGTATATTTTGTGGGTGTTAGGGAGAGCCTATCTTAGGTTATCAGGTTTTTTTAATAAGAGATATAATGATGATGATGCATTTGTAAGTACATATGTCTAGTTCGAATTGTCATTGAATGTATCTATCTTTAGCACGTATTGAAGAATATACTGGCCTGTGTCGATGGCGATACGGTTCGGTACTACGAGCTTTGCGACAGTATGTATTGCTCTGAGTGTCCGACATGCTTGAGATACAGCAACCCAGTATTACTTCAATAAAGGAAACACGGTCAGCCGCTGGTGCGCGGGCCTGCTGCACAGCATTGCCACAAGAGGCCGGCCGGTGGGCCGGAGAAGCGGAAATCTACTTCTGGCGGGTAAGTTGATTATTAGTTTCCGTTTTGTTTCGAACGAGCTCTGAAAAAGTGAAAGGAAAGAATCGATCCCACGAATGTGGGGGCAGGCGCGTGGAAGAGTGAGCCAGGCTGCTACACCAACAAGCTTTGCTGCGGGGGACCCTCCGAAGGCTGTTCCGGATGAGCCTTGGGAAGTAAGAACCCTCAAGAACGATCCAACTCGCCGGGTTAGGCTGATTTCTGGCTCGGATGGTTGCAGCTGTTCCAGATGAGCGTTGGGAAGTGGGAACCCTGCGGATGGTTTCAGCTGTTTCGGATGAGGGCTTGGGAAGCGGGAACCCTTCAAACGGATCCGAGGTTGATTTCTGGCCTTGAATGGTTGCAGCCGTAAATGTGCAATATGGAATCGGCTTGGAGAAATTTCAGTCCGTGCTCAGACCCATTAATCCCTTGAAGAGGGTCTGCTACTGCTTCAAGACTTTGGTGGCGACTTCCCGTGCCAGGCAGCCGCCAAAATCCGCAGCAGCTGGCTGCCGCCCTTCTGGGCCCCAAAGGGCCCCTCAAAGCAAACACAAGCCAAATCGGTATAATTCTAAACGATTTCCAGCGATAGTCTTCGATACGATTTGAGGTTGCAGCTCACACTACGCCAGTGTCCGGAGCGAGCCGAGACTCAAAGACCAAGCTGCCAATAATAGCACTAGCCTGTGAGAACAGGAGCAAGTTGATATCACACATGGGGGACAAAGCGGCGCGCGTGACCAAAAGAGAAACGAGGGCGCCTTTTTTTTAAAGGTTTTTGGCAGACACGCGTCTTGGGGGAGCTTGGTGGTGGCTCAGGTCCGGATCTTTAGCCTAGAGAGCCACGACCTTGAAGGCTCTTGTGGAAGCATGCTTGCACGCTTGTATATATTTGCAGGCCTCGCTAGTCCTGCTTGCAGGCCCCGCTCTCTTGTAGACAGCACGCAGGGCCTTCGACTTGCACCCTTGACTGGCCATCTTTGCTGGGAATGGTTCCGACCTGAGCCTTAACGCTGGCTGCGGTGTTTTCGGGCAAGTTTCGCGAAAGATCCGCAAAAAGACCGGCGAGCGACTACGGACCTTCTTGTAGATGGGCATCAAGCCAATCGTGAACACTCAGACAGTGCTGGGAATCGGCAGCGCCGCGCAGTACCATGTTCCTTCACGGCCTTGCACCTTGCTCTCCCAACTCTTTTGCAAGAATGGTTGCTTGGCCCGCTCCGGTTCAAGCATGCGCATGTAGAGGCCAGGTTGACATGCCTTGGCACTAAGTATGACCGCGAACAATTTCAGCCCTTGTAACTTGTGTTGCATGCTGCAGAATTCCGAGCATGATGTGCGCCGAGTTGTGTGCGCGGCGGACCCGGCTGCCTTTGTGCCGCCAGCTGTAGTAGACAGCCTGGCCAGCCAGCTCTCGCGGCCGATTGCTGTGGAAATCGCACACCTGCCTCACTGCCCATCTTGCGGCTCAGCGCTGGCACATAAGACATCTACTCCTTGCCGAGTGCTGTCTAGTGGAGGCCTAACAGAAGCCACGCACGTGGCCTTGCATTGCCGCCGAAGGAAGTGTGACCTTGAGGGCAAGATTGTGTGGGCCAATTTCCTTGCCAACAGCCGCGGCGACCACACGTGGCTGAAAGGAACTGCCCGGCCAGACATTGCCATGCTCTCGCCTCATTTTGGCGTCACTTGGGAGTGGCACGTGCAGTTTGGGAAGCGCATCCTGCACCACCACGCATCTTTTCTGGGGGAAAGCTATGTGCATGGCCTTGCAGCTGCAGGTTTAGACCATGGAAACCAACGCGTTCGTGATGCTTGGTGCAAACTGCAGCTGCTTCACAAATGGGACTCCATTGCAGAAGGCCCATTTCCGTTGAGCAGGCCATTTGCGGACATCTTTGCTGGGTGCCGGAAGGAGTACGATGGATGGGTGCGGGAGCAATTTCGTGCCGCCGCTCAGCCTCAGCCCCAGGTGGTTGTGATCGATGGGAACCAAAAGCTCACGCGCAGAACGTGCGCTGAGCTGCTGACAAACCTTGAGACACTGCCAGGAACAGACTTGATGTTTCTGCAAGATTGCTCGAGAACGCCCAAGCGAAAGAATGCCTTCTGCTCAGCGCACACCCGGCCTCCTGTTCATGATGATGGCATTCGGGTTGCGAAGAAAGCCTGCGTTGCGGGCAATCCTGCTGCCCTCTTGTGCGCTAGCCCACGCACTTGCGCGGTAGAATGGCCACTCAGTCCTATGCTGCGGGATGTGGTTCACTTTCAGTCCAAGATGGCCCACGCCAAGCGACGAGGAGCTGCAGGGGAAGATCTAGACATTGCCCAAGCTGCAGATTTTGTGTCTTGCCGCACAGTCAAGATGCGGCGGCGCGTCAATCGCCGAAGTGGGGGCTGGCTGGTGGCCTGCGCTGCTGATGGCGCTGTTCTGGACGCAGTGGAGTTTTTTGGTGGGGAGTCTTTGACGCAGCGGGCTGCTTTCGTGGCCCGGCTGAAGGAGCGGTACCCGTTCATCGCCACTGTGGTGCATGATGACAGCTGCCACTTACGCAGGTTCATGGACCACTGGTGCAGAAGCTGCCCGCAGCTCTGCTTCCCTGCAATGCATTACGTCATCGACAAGTTCCACGCCGTCACGCACTGTGATGCTTGGTGTCGCGCCAACTGTGCGCCATCAACTCCTGTCAACGAGGCCAGAATGGCCGGAGTCAACAGTAGCGCCTGCGAGCTGCTTTTCTCTTGGTTTTCTCTATATCGGAACTCATTTCGGCACATGGGGCAAGAAACAGCCCATTTTTTGTCAATGAAGTTTTGCTGATGCGAAACGAATGGCACCGAGCTCAGGTTAAACCGCCTGTCTAGGGAACGCTTGTGCTTCACGCCTGGCTGGATAAATGAACAGTTGTCTTGCTGAAACACTTGCACCGACGCCTCTGACTCATGATGTTGCATGTGGGCAAGGCTGCTCGATTGGTGGCCTTGAGGTTCAAGGTTCTCTCTTCTGTGGCCCAGATGGCTGGGGGCTCGAGTGTGCGTGGGACCTTGTGGAGAAGGAGTGTGATGTAGGTGGCCTCTTTGGTGACAAGGGGAAGAAGTTCTTGGAGGAAGCGGCCGCCAAGCGAAGCCTTCACCCTCTTGCCGTGGGCCTACCAGTTTTGGCCACATTGGCTCCACTTGCCAATGGCGCCAAGGTGAGGATTTGGAGCGAAGCCTCCCCTCTTTGCACTGCAGTTGTTCTCATCAACCCTCGCAATCCCGCAAATCCAAGACTACGTCCTTGGCGCGCGAAGTTGGTCTGGTCCTTGACGAGTACGCGCACCGGCGTGTCCGTGAAGAACTGCTGCGCCGCCACGGCGATGGACAGGATGGAGCTGACCCCGTGCTGGATGAGCTCCTCGCCGAGCCTTCGCCCTCGTGCGTGCTGGAAGGATTCACCCCGGAGGCGGGGCGGGGAAAGGTCTGTGTTTTTGACCCACCCCTGTTTTCTCTGAGAGGCTTTCTTCGAGGCCGTGTCCGGCGATTACTCCATCAAGAAGGCTAAAGGCCGCGTGTGCAAGGCTGGTGGATTCGGACGGCTAGCCAATGTCGACGAGGTGTACCCGTCCTTTTTGTCCTTTGGCCTCATAGACAGCGCTGACACAAAGGGCAAGACTGGAGTCAACTCGTGCACTTCGCTTTTGAACCGCTTTCTCCAGACTGGTGGCAGCAGCAAGCTGACGCGCACTGCTGGCGCATACGGTGGTGCAGCTGCTCAAAGCGTGAGCTTTGCGCTTGTCGGGAACGCGCACCCTTCCATGGCCATGTCAATGCTGGAGGGGTCAACCGGCTGCCAGGTTGCGGCTGCTCACGACAGGTTGCTTTTCTTCACGGCCCCCAGAGTAGCACCTCACGAAGAGGTGCCAGAATCTGTCCAGGTTGAGGGTCCGCGATATTTTTGGGCAGATCTTCCACCAGAGCTTGCGGACTTGGCCGGCATCGCGCCGCTGCTGACGGATCCTGAGCGTGCAGCTGTGTCAGGCGGGCGGTCTCGCGGAAGCGTGCCCTTCTTTTTTTGCGGCCCTTGTCAGGATTGGAGCGGGCGGTGGATGTCCCTGCGGAGGAGACGCCGCAGTACATCTTCAAGCTGCCTGACGGGGTGGTGACAAGGCTGAAGTACAGTTGGACCTGCGGCGAGCCCCGTGCCCAGATGCGCATCCCCAACCGCCTCGTTGTGGACAGTGAGGGCTTCTGCGTGGCCGAGTGTGCCCGGAGGGTGGCAGAGCGCTTCCGTGACCCACACCAGACGCTTGAGATGGACGACCACGGCTCAGGCGTGGGCAGAGTTGTTTGCTTCTTTCTTTGGTGGCACGGCCGGACTTTAGGTGGTTTGTCGGAGGTGGGCCCATTGGCACGCTCGCGCGCTGCTTCGCAGCCGTCAAAGGTGGATTTATGGGTGTCTTGGAGACGGCTCATTGGCACACGCGCTCGACGCCTGTTTGGTACGGTCACGGCGCGCGGCGGCGCACAGCGCTTTCGCAATGTTTCATTGCCGCAGCACTTTTCGCAAGGTCAGGTACAGACCGTGGCAGGCGACTTTCGCTCAGGTACAGATTTCGTGGCAGTCGCAACACGTTTGCAAGGTCAGGCGCGTGTTTCGCTGCAGGTGGTGAGCGCTCTGAGAAAAGGAGGTAGAAAGATAGAAAGAAGGAGAGAGCGAGAGAGAGAGAGAGAGAGAGAGAGAGAGAGAGAGAGAGAGAGAGAGAGAGAGAGAGAGAGAGAGAGAGAGAGAGAGAGAGAGAGAGAGAGAGAGAGAGAGAGAGAGACAGAGAGAGAGAGAGAGAGAGAGAGAGAGAGAGAGAGAGAGAGAAAGAGAGAGAGAGAGAGAGAGAGAGAGAGAGAGAGAGAGAGAGAGAGAGAGAGAGAGAGAGAGAGAGAGAGAGAGAGAGAGAGAGAGAGAGAGAGAGAGAGAGAGAGAGAGAGAGAGAGAGAGAGAGAGAGAGAGAGAGAGCAAGAGCGAGAGAAAGCTTGTTTGAAACTTCCGCCCTGCTGCGGCAAGAGATTGCTGGTACTGTGCCCCTCCAGACACTTTAGGTGGGTCCCGTTTTAGTAGAGAAATGGCTTCTTGAACACAAGAGTACTCAGCGCTGCCCCCCTCCCTCTCCGGCAGTTTGTAACGTTTTTTTTCGAAGGCGTGTTGGCGCACAGTTTGCAGCTTTAGGAAACTTAGGGCGTTTTCTTGGGTGCGGTTAGAAAGGGCTTTACGGCTTTACCTACGATGAATTTGGGCAGGTGGGGAGTGACAAGTTGGCGACCCGCATGTCTATTGGTCCATGGCATTTGGGCATGCTGGCAGCTTTGATGGCGCTCTTCGATGTGTTTGTTGGGGCCTGCGAGGATGAGAAGGCCGTGTTTCGCGCAACCGCCTGGCAACACGCGCGCCGTAAATGTTCCTTACGTTTTCCTAACGTCTTCTAATTTGCTTCTTGGTTCGCTGGAGGTGTGTGTGCGACAACAGCATGTGCAAAGAGCTTGGGGGGTTCTGCAACTCCTCCATAAGATGCGGAAGCTATGGTCTCAGACCGAGGAGGATGGTGTAAAGCCATGGGCCTTGCCTCCACCGCCAAAAGAGTTCCAGTCAAAGGTGCCTGATCACGCTCAGCTTCCCCCAGATATGGCAAGCTTTCCCGCTACCCAGCCCAACTCTTCCAAGCCAGTTTTCCCTGCTGACGCAAGCCCCGTACAAATCAAAGAGTGCAGGCAAGGGCCGGCTTTGGAGAGGGCAATGGCAAAGGGTTTTGGGCCGAACGATGAAAGTGTGCGAATCCCAGTCTCATTCTTGTCAGATCGAGAGATCGCGCGAAGGACCGTGCTGAGAGGAAAGAGTCACGTGTCTTTTGGTGACCTGAGCCTCAGAAAGGTTGAGACAACGGCTGATGGATCTAGGCGAAAGGCTACGGTGACGAAGGAGTGCTGGGGCCAGGTCATGAGTGCTGCCTTCGAGAAATACCCCATTGGCAAGTTCGACCGTGGCGCCGTCCACTTTTCGCAGCCCCCTGATGAGCCCAGTGAACGGGCAATCTTTCACAACTACTTAGTGGATTGCTGCCAAGTGTCTTTGAGGCAATTTGCAGAAGCGCTTTCAAAGGAAGCCAAGAAGGCCGCGCTTCCAAAGGAAGCCAAGAAGCGCAAGCAAGAGGAAGGACAGCAAGCCGAGGACTAGTTTTGCGCGGGGCAGAAGAGAAGAAATTTGCCAGCTGCCTTCACTTGCTTGCCCCCACGTCCCCCACGTCCCCCGCGTCCCGCACGTCCCGTCCCCCCACGTCCCCCACGTCCCGCGTCCCGTCCCCCACGTCCCGCACGTCCCGCACGTCCCGCGCGTCCCGCACGTCCCGCGCGTCCCGCACGTCCCGCACGTCCCGTCCCCCACGTCCCGGGACACTCAGAAGTTAATCCCCCAAGGATGGGCTGCTTAAGGCAGCCAACTGCGTGCAGGACTGCAGCGGCCAAGCACGTGCAAGCAAAAGCAGACCAACCAGATTTCAACAAACACACCCAAACAATTCCTAGCCTTGACAGCTAAGAGCTTCGCAAGTTTAGTGCCCGAGCTAGACGGGGGATCCAAAGTCACAAGGGCTACGCACCTACACACAACACCCACGCAAGCGCTGACAAAACAAAATCAAAAACTCTATAGACACGGAGCTTCTTCAAAACACGGTTTGGCTGTGATTTTCGGCCTTTGCCAGGCTGCGGTCAAGTAGCTCTTCGTTGGGAACATGCCTTTGCGGGGTCGAGGCTTGGGTTGGTTTTGGATGTAGCCCGAAACCCTCTTTTGGCTCTACGTGATCGTCGCCAGAGGTCCGCCCACCTTGCCCTTGTCCAGCCTGGGCGTTGCAGTTGTCCTTTGGAAGGGCAACTCTTCATCTCAAACAAATGAACGTTTGCCCATCATTCGACTAGCGTTGGCAAGCTTGCAACAATGATGCATCAACCCTGCAGATTTTGGCGCAGCTTGCTCACTACTGATGCAATGGTAAAGAGAGTGTGCAAAGCTGGCAAGGCCCGCAAGGTCAAATCCAAGGCCAAGACTGCCAAGTTCCGGCCAAGTGCTCCTGCCATGCAAGGTCCATTTGGAGAGATGCGCCCTGCTTGCACTTGGCATGAGGCAAGTTTACACACACACACACACATCAAATCAGTGTCTCTGCCAGCTGTTCAGCCCTCGAACTCCAAATCGTCCGGCCTGTAGGTTGCAGCTCCTGATGCGGTCCGGCTTGCCCTTCTGCATCCTGGTGTTGTGCGAACTGGTGATGCGGACACTTCCACTGTTTGGCCCAAGCGTGCTTTTAGGAAAGTGTGCTGTTGTTCGTTTCGCGGTCAAACACTTGCAGCCTTCATGATGTGAGCTGTTTGGAAGCAATCTTGCACTCTAAATCCTGCTACCTGTGTTTGCCAAGGCACTCATGAATGTGGAACAATTTGCCAGAGTCAAAACAATTCATTCAGCCTTCGAGTTTGGCTGGCCTGCTTGGTGTTCTTTGCAAACGCTAGCCGGCTAGCATGTGCATGTGCGTGGGCGTGGCAGGCAGATGAACCTGCCATCATCATCCTTCGAAATCAAAGACTCGCCGCATCAAGACATGTGCTCTGGCATCGGCTGGGCCCTGTCACTGGCTTTGTCCTTCAGGCTGTACCGACTGGCCACTTGGATCAAACACAAGTGCTGCAAGTGTGAGTCATGCGGTTTCTTCTTACTTCCGGCCAGGCAGGGCTGAACTGGTATGCGCCAGTTTGCTCAACGTGGATATTGATATGGATCAACAGGCCCCCCTCTTACGGTCCTCTCGCAGACATGTTTTTGATGGTGTTTCACAAGGTTCACATCAGGAAGATCACGGGACCAACCCTTGGGTTTGCGGAGGCCGGCCAACATTACTGCGACCCTTGTCCGCAAGGTGTTAGACACTCGTCCTGTCTTGTGAGCTCATTGCCCCAGTGACTCGCCGGCCTGCGCTCGCTGCTCTAAGTTCTGGCCCATGGAAACACATGCTTCATTTTGTGCATTTGCATGAAAAGGCTGACATGTGACCTTTCTAGCAGGAGCTCTGAAAGGCTTTCGTTCCCCCGGCCATGTCTGTGCATGATCTCCTGGTAAAAATGGAAGAAAACTCGTTCGACACCGAAAGCAGCAGGGACGAAGATGACATCGACTTCCAGCTCCGGATTATGAAGGAACACATCGAAGAACTGCATCGTTGTCTATGACCTGATGCTTCGGACCTGAAGGACCAATCCCAGCTAAGTGCGCTTCCAGTCACAAACAAGCACATGCCCCTGCCAGTGTTTATATTTTTTGGCCTTGGCCCAGGAGCTGGTTGAGACCCCGCTTGGAGAACCGCAAGAATCACTGATTGTCGGGGATTTCGTCTCGAAGTGTACTGAAAAGGATGTGCCGAGCCCCTAGCAAAACCTTTGTTGCAAATGCTTCCAACACAAGAACTCGCTCGTTCGATTGAAGGCGAGCGAACAAGTGGATCCTTCTCGGCCTGATCTCTCACTTTGAAGACTTTTGCGAGCGTGCCCCATCGAAGCAGGAGCTGGCCATCATCATTGAGCAAATGAACACATGCTCCAAGGCGCGAACTATTTGAATTGATTGTTTTCCCTCTTGAATCAGTTCCGGCCTGCAGGGCCTGCTCATCCGGGCTTTGGGCGGCACAGCGCCTTGTCAGCCTTCAGACAAGCATGAGTGATGAAGCATTGGGCCTTGGAGTGGCTGCGCTAGGCAGTGACGGAGGCTATTGAGTGCCAATCCCAGAAATTGAGGATGCTTTGGTCCTATTTACGGAAGCCCGTGCCCAGCCCCCATGTGTGTGCAGCATACCTTTCCCTTGGATTTGTTATTTCGGGGTGTTGCCCTGAAGGTTATGGCGGCAAACCTCTGAGTCGCATTGCCCGATCATCGCCGAGATGAAATCTTACATGCGGAACATGACACGAGCATGCCCGAGACACCTGGACAACTGAATGCTTTCTTTGCATGGCCAGCCTCCCCCTCTCTGTAGGAGAAGGCCGTCGCCACCTCGGACGATGAGGATATCGCTGGACTGTGGGACAGAGCAGGCATCCCTGAATACCCCAACACTCCTATGTTGTTTTAGGTGCTGGACAACCAGCCGGAGAGCGAGGTTGAGGTTGAGCCAGCCAACATTCCAAAGAAGAAGAAGAAGCCCAGAACAAAGGAACCCGCTTCTGTTCCAGTTGTGGATGTGGAGCAGCATGACAGGAACATGACCGAACTGTTTGGGGAGCCGGAGGCCTGGTGTTATATTCTTACATTAGGGAACTTGGGAGTGTTCGACTCAAAGGTTGTGATACTGTTTCGACCCCTGAAAGATGCCTGTCGGCTTCAACACTGCGGTCAGCAACCTGGACCTTGCTGCTATCACCGATGGGGATGCAGGCATGGATTTCCACCAGACAAGTCAACAAATCACGGGTCCGCATTGGAGGTGATTCTGCAGACGCTGCGCCTCCAACAGTTCCATCTCGAAAGAAGAAAGGCCCCAACTGTTTGATTGCCACTCTGCATTCCCACAGCAAGCCGGATTTGCCAAAAACCGTTGCAGGCGACAAGTCTGGGGCCTCTACATCGGAGACAAAGTGCGACGAGCCACGTGCTGCGGAGCCGGATCAGCTGAAGGACGGGGAGGGGCCGAAGGATGGGGAAGTGCCGTTCTTGGCAACCTTTGACAACTCATACCACAGAGAGCTTGCGTTGCTGCCACAAGCAGCATGGCCGCAGAGCGGAAAGCATGGGCGCCACTCGTACATGGTGAAATTGTGCCCCTCTCAGTTGCCCGAAAACAAATTTTTAAATCGGATCCCAAGCATTCCAAGGTGCGACACAAAAGCGCCTGGAGATCCTCTTGCGCCAGCTGGCCTTCAGGCCGAAGACGGACGTCAGTGGACAGAAGATTGAGGGCGCGTCGTGCCTCGGCCAATTGCAGGGTGGGCGGTTGTTTCGCTCCTGGGTGTTAGATTAGATTTGGTTGGCTCGCTGGCTTGCTGGTTTGTTTCAGGGTGTGTTGGGTTTTCGACTGACGATCGGCCCCACCAGTCGAAACAAATCAATCAAGCAATCAGGCAATCAACTCACCGATGAGAGCAATGACAGGCAGCCAACCGACCTCGCCGATCCAGCTCAGCAGCGAACCACTTAATACAACCAGCCCAGTCAACCAGCCAGTCATCCGGCAACAAACCAAACCAAGCAACGTGTCAATCAACCAATCAGTCCACCAAGCAACCTCCAATCAAACAATATATGCATGTTTCAATCGCCATGCAAGCAAGCAACCGGTGAAATGACCAACCAAATCACAAGCCAGCTACTTACTAAGCAGTTCACAAAAGGGTCGCCAAAACAGGCACAAAAAACTCACCCTGCAAAAAACAAAGGTTAACGTAGTTGCGTTTTAGGATTTTATTTCGGGGCAAGCACGCGGCGAGCTGGAGCGAAGCAGTGCAGCGGACGAAGCATTCCATCCCAGACGTCGACTGAGACGAGATGCCAAGAGAGGAGAAAAAGACAATTGTGCACCGCTTGACCGCCTTGTCTCTTGTACTAGCACCATGCAACAGCCATGACTGCCATGCAATGACCCAAGGGATCTTCAAGTAGCCCGCACATGCGTGGTGCTTGCAATCTCGAGCTCACTGGGGCAGGGCAGCTTGCCCCAACTTGTGCGCAGTCAGTGTCTGAACTTGGCGGCAGTCGAAAGCTAAGGATCTTGGAGCAGCCGCAAAGCAGCCTACTTGCCTACCACCCACTGTTCGTCCACCTGAGCAAGAAGTTCAAAATCTACCAGGCAGGCCTTGGTTATGCAGAGGGCAGGCCTATGGTCCTAAACATGTTTACATTGATCTGTTCGAGGCCTTTGTTTGGATGGGATCATACAAGGGCAGCAGAATCTTGGCAGAACGAAGCAAAACATTGATGACCCAACAACCTTGCTCAGAGAACCTTTCCTGACTTTGATTAGCCGAGGCCCAAAACCCACAGTGCTCTACAGCAATTGTGCCTTCATCCAAGAACTGCGAAAACCATTGCCAGCAAATGCCAGCTGGGACAAAGAGGTCACACACAGGCAAGGCACGCATGATGCCACACTACTTGTACGTGAGCGTCAATTGAGCCCAGCTTATAGGTATTTGGAT